GATTTGGGTGTTAAAATATTCTCTCTGTCATAAAGAGGTACTAAGGATACACGGTAGTCGTTTTTCAGTGATCTTCATGAGCTGAATAACAAGTTGGACACTCGGAGGCATGGTTCCCAGTGTCTTGGGGAAATCTTTACTGGCTTATGAAATACAAAGTGTGGAAACTCATGGGCCAGAAGGTGAATAAGTGCAGAGTGGTATGGCGGAGAGCCCCAGGCTGGGAGGCACCCCTTAGTCTTAGGAGACCCCTCTGCTTCTCAAGGCCCTTGCCTTTTACTGTACACTGCGAGTGCTGGCCCAGACGATTGCTTAGCCCGTCTCCGCTGCAGCATTCTCTGACAACCCTGACAGAGTGGCACTATGTACTACATAACAGTGAGGATTTGGGTTACAGGCACAGTGGGCCCCACTTATTTGATTCATGGAGAAATGCAGAGAAGACAATTTAAGGAAATCTGGAACAGAATAACCACGAAAACAACCCAACAGCTGTTGAGTAGATGCTGAGATGAGCCCATCATAAAATGTACTATGGTATGTCATGATGGTTGGGATACCAATAAGAAAGTTCTATTTTAAGTACCATTGACTTAGTCACATCATGTTTGCAGAACAGGCAGTGAACATCTGCTTATGAAAAAAAAATTCCTCTTTAATTCTTTAATTTATATGTCATCCTTTAAAAAGCATTTCTGAGGGTATGTTTTGCTTGGTCCATCAAGCCCACTGTCCCATATTGAAAAGGAAGCCTATGAGTTATTTCCTTAATACATTAAAAATATGATAAAACAATCTGCCAATTTCGTGTGGAGCTTCTGTTATTGCCTTGCATGTAATAGGCATTCAATGACTATATGGTAAATCAGTAAATTTTAATAAAAACGTGCTTGCATACTGATTTTGTCACATTATAAACGTATCTGGCAACTGCTCTTCTTTTTTTAAAAAAGGCAAATTTGCCAAGGGTGTATCTTGCATAGCTACTGTACAATCCACTTTGTGCTTCTGGAATTGTCAAAACAAACTTAACTGCTCTTAAGAACTCCGATCCAATATCACTGTCAAAATGTTTTACAACGATTCGGCCAAATGTTTGTGGAACAGCTGTGCTCCTCGTCTGCCTGAGTCATTTTCCTGCTTTCCTTTTGGCCCAATCCTGTGATTCATCATTCTGCTTTTAGAATATTTGCCTATTTTTAAAACCAGTCAAAGACAGCAGCCACTGTTTAAAAGTAAACACACCACACATCAACGTGGGGCAGCTTGGTAAGCAGCTTCGCAAGCCCTGAGATTTCTGGCTGGCAGGGATGCCAGCTAAACCAGATGGTATCGAGCAGTGACATACAGGACTGGCATTCAGACTCAATCGTCTCCTTACATCTGTCTTTGGTTTTCTGGTTTCCATGGCTGTTTCTTCTTTGGATTAATCCAACTTGATTCATTTTTTTAACAAAAGTCTTATTTCAGCCGTCATTCTAAAATATCTATTATATATTCATTTCTGTGTAAATCAATCAGGCTTTTCTAGCAACTCAAGAAATATGATGTTAAGCCTTTTCTTGTATGCAAAATTATCAGCATGATCACATATATGTGCCCTATATGGAATGACTATAAATAATGATGTAGATTTTTATAATAGGCTTCATTAATTCTGGGTCATACTAGGTATACCATATATATACATATCATATATATATGTATATATATATACACACACACACACACATATATATTATATATATAATATAGTAAGCAAATGAATAACTTCCCCCCCCCCTTTTTATAATTAAGCAGGAAGGAGTGTGACTTCAGAGGGAGTAAGGCAGATTAAATTCCCGTTAAGCCTTGAGTTCCATTCCTGGCTGTCTTTTAAAATTCTAGAATGTGCTATGTGCTCTGGTACTTTACAGAAGTGGTTTCTCCTTCCAACGAGTGCCTGCTCATCTATGATTATTAGGGCTGGGACGCCAAAGTATAATATGTTCCCATTTACCCATGCCAAATGGTTCTGGCCTTGAACTCAATGAGCTAAAATAATCTTGATGTCTAGGTTAATTGATATTTTATTGGAATATGTTTAAATCACCTTTGACCAAAATCAGTTTCACAAACTATAGGTTTTAAAATGAAGGCTACCTCTAGAGGGTCAGGTGGCAAAAAGTGAATATTTCTGTCTTTTGTCCAATTCTTTGCAAATGATGGGTGGATTTAAAAAGCCCCAGTATTTGGCAGAAGTTGTCACCTCCAATCTGAGCAGAATGAGAGCATTCAGAGGGCCTGGGAATTAGATCTTGTTTCCGCTTAAGACAGCCCTCCAGCCTGCAGCAAGGGCCTTGGGAAGATTTCCTGTTTCTACTTGCTCTGTGAAGCTAATTAGCATCAGTGAACCGGTGGGCCTTCATTGCCTGGCACAGGTACAGGAACAAATGGATTCAAATTTGGGGATGCACTGTCATTGTCTTAAGCCACTTCTAAGTGGGAGTATTATTATACTACCCTTGACTAAAATACACCAGAGCTATTAGGTGACGTGACCCTTGAGGTGTTTGGCTGAGGTTAATACTGTCCTTGTTTGAGGTATCTTTCTGGTGATTATCTTCGGTGCCTTCAAAGCAATGTAATCCCTTAGCAGCCAGGCGCTCCCGTTGTTGTGCTTTATTCTGGACTGTGCTCCAATGAGCAGGGAGAGGCTCCTTGCTTCTGCATTGTGTATGACCCGGGTCACTTCCTCTAGTTTAAGTAGAACATCAATGGTTTTTATAAAGAAATTTGATTATGGTAGTGAGAACGTAAAAACGATTTCTTGTCTTTATTATAATTTAAAATTAACTTTGGTCTTTAATTATTCTTTTGGCCCACATTTTGTCTTATTCTCATAGTCTCGTGTCCTGGAGTAGGTGTTGTCAACAAGGGGGGATGGGAGATGAATAGCCAATGCACCTGCACAGCCAGCATCTGCTTGGAGATATGGAGGTTCTGCTGACAAAGGGGTTGACCGCTAGTGCCGGGGCGGGGTCAGCAGTATGTTCTTGAAGAGATTGGGGGTTGCTTGGATGTTTGGCTAAACTTCCTCAGGTTTCCTCTGATGCTTCTGAGAACTGTATCTTTTGATCCAGCCACACCTGCCTATTGCCAGTCAGTTAATTGATGTCCATCTCTCTCAGCTCAGGCTGTCCCGCATCAGGGCAGCGGGCTGGGCTTCAGGTTGGGGGTGCTGCCCTGATTGGTTCCTTCCTGTTACCCGCTGTAACCCTGGATGAGGCTCTGGTTAACTGCCAGTTAGTGGTAGTTTGTGGTGAGAGAAGAGAGCAAAACCTTCAAAGCTTGCCACCCTGGGAGTCATTCAGAGCAGAACTAACACTTGTATTTTTTACTAACATGTTCTTGTGTCCAGTTGCATTTGTTCTGGTCACCTCATTATCACTTCGTTAAAGCACTTTCCTATATATCATATATATATATATATATATATATATATATATACACATATATCATATATATTATAACATATATATCATATATAATATATGATATCATATACATATATGATGTGTAGATCGTACACGCACACACACACACACACACACACGGTCAGACAATTAAGTTCGTGAACTCATCCTAGAAAAAGTGCTACACACCTCATTGCTGAATATCACTATGGACACCTTCAAAGTACTCCCCTTGGGAAGCTATGCACTGATGCCAGAGCCTAGTCTACCCTTCAAAGCAATTTTGGCACTCTTTTTCTGGAATGGCCATCAGAGCTGTCATCGTATTACCCTTGATGTCCTTAATGTCATCAAAAGTCTTCGTTTCAATATTTGTTTATCTTCAGGTAAAGAAAGAAGTCATTGGGGGCCAGATCAGGTGAGTAGGGAGGGTGTCCCAATACAGTGATTTGTTTACTGGCTAAAAACTCCCTCACAGACAGTGCCGTGTGAGCTGGTGCATTGTCGTGATGCAAGAGCCATGACTTGTTGGCGAAAAGTTCAGGGCTTCCAACTTTTTCACGCAGCCTTTCAGCACTTCCAAATAGTAAACTTGGTTAACTGTTTGTCCAGTTGGTAAAAATTCATAATGAATAATCCCTCTGATATCAGAAAAGGTTAGCAATATCATTGCAATGAGTTTGCAAACTTAATTGTCAGCCCTCGTGTGTGTGTGTGTATCACTTTCCTGTATATGATATATAATATATATATTGGTTTTGGTTAATGTAGGAGTATTGAAAGACAAGTTTAATGTAGGAGTATTAAAAGACAAGCAGTACTTTTTTTTAAAGATTTTTTTTTATTGGGGAATCGGGGAAGGGGAACAAACAAGTTGCTGTCCTTTTGTTCTTCAGTCTAGTTGTGGAGGACGTCGCTTCACTGGCCCATATTGGTATTGTGATCATTGCACTTTTCCCGGCTGAGGCAGATTGGTGGCCGGCCATTGGATGGCTGCTCACAGTGGCTTTTGGCAGCTCACGCTGACTGCTGGCTGCTCACGGTAGCTTATGGCAGCCCACTGCAGCAGGGGCTGCAGCCTACGCCTTCACGGCCGACTCATGGCAGCCCAGCTCCAGGTCGAGCTGTTGTTCACCATCTTAGCTGTAGAGGGCACAGCGTCACTGGCCCTAATGTGGGATCCGAACCGGGGCCCTGCTGCTAAGAGCTGGTGTCCCAAGCCAACTCTTAACCAACGCGCCACTTGGCCGACCCACAAGCAGTACTTCTTAATTGGAGAACTACCAGAGAACATATGAGGATTGATATCTTTTTGCAGAATTTTGGTCCAGCCAACTAAGCACTCCATGCTTCTGTTTGTACCAAAAATGAGTGAAATTGTGTTCTGCATTCTACCTGTCCCCAACTAATGTGATGAAAATAACTAAAGCAGTAGATATGGATGGTTTAACTGTGCAAGCCTAAATAAAGGTGGTTTAGCAGCAGGAAAACGCTTGTGAGAGAAAGGGCTCTGTAATGAAGAACCATTTTATTTTCATATTTCAGATGATACACCTCCTGAAGACTCCATTCCTCTGGCCTTCCCAGAATTAGACCAGCAGCTACAGGTAAGGATTTTCCTAGTCTCTCTTCTTTGCTTCTTAGTTTCACGAAATACAGTGAACTGAGGAATGGCTTACTTGAGAAAGCCTAGAGACAGAGAGCAGGGAGCTTGCATGCCATCGAGGTTTGCATTTCTAGAGCTCCAAAGTCAGGCTGAAGACCTCGTGCAATGCCCTTGTGTGGTTATCTGGCTACGGCACCAGAATATTAAGAACTTAGGGTATAAACCAGCTCCATGTTTGAGGAGTCTGGAGCTGGGAAGAGGGTTGGTCCCTGCTTTCCTTTCTGTGGATGACTCCCAGCCTTGCAGTCTGGGCCCATTTGGGGTTAGTGATTTAGTAATAAACTGTACTGAGGATACGTTCACATGTGCCAAGACTTCAGAACACTTCCTTTCTGTACGCCCCCCCCCCCCAGTTCTCTGACAGCGTTGAATAGAATATGGTTATTTTATGTAAAACCTTCTGAGTACTGTCTGGTTTGAACCATGAGAAAGACGTTTCGTGTGCATAATTAATGGGCAATCTATGAAGGATATCCTATTTTAATACACCTGAATTATTTGAAAGGAGCTAATTTATGACATTTTAATTTTCATTGGATGATATATCGTGATTCCAGGCAAAGATGGCTTTAGGAAGAGGTTCAGCCTAAAATGCCTGGATACTGGTCTTGGGTCAGATGTTCACTGGAGTACTTCCCTGTGCAGGCACGTTTAGACAAGTCTAATAGGGTAATAGGGGTTTTGAATCCTGTGCACAGAATCCTGTGCACAGTCTGTGTTTAGTCACCATATTTTCTTCTAAATATTGGTTTTGAAAGCCTTCAGGAGGGGTCTGCAACCTCTACTTCCCAACAGGCCCTGACGCTCCCTGTTATCTTGCACCCAGCAGCTTGTCCCATCAGTGGGTATGCGTGGTCTCCTGAGGTTATTTGGGTTTGGGATCCCAGGTCCTGAACAGCCCTCAAGGTGGGAAGAAGCAAGATGGTGTCCCTTTTTGTTGGCTCCAGTTCTTGTCTCAGTCGCCAGTGCTGAGAACCTGGAAGCTGGTGCCCCACTGCTGGGGTGGCCTCTAAAAATCAACCCAGCACCACTCAAGTGTGACCGGGCCTCTTAGCAGAGCCCTCATTCTCACCTCTGCCACAGTCCTGGGCATTGTCACAGCCCTCCAATAGAAAGCCTGCTCAACAGAGCTATGTCAATTGTGTAGAGATTATAGAAGATTGTCCAGAAGGTGGAAGGGTTATACTGAGGCCCTCACAGACAGCTCAGTCCTCTTCTAAAAGTTCTCTGAAGCCATTGATCATCTTATCTCCCTCTTCTCCTGTGCCCCACCAGGGTCTCAACCCAGCCAGCTCTCCTGGTTTCTGATATCTAACCATATCCCCACACTATCTCTTCTCATCACCATGGAGATCAGCTCAGCTCTGTCATCACAGAAGGGCTATGTATGTGCTGTTGGTGGTGTAGTTGGGATTGTAAAATAATTGTATATTTTTCCCCATCACTGTTTTATTTATTTTTACTCCATGATTTTACTGTTACCCCAAAGCTATTTTATTATCATGGAAGTTAGATGAAAATAAGGAGGAAACATGTTTTGAAAATCAAATAGTAAAAGCATATTCAGATTCTTGTTCCCCCATCAAACTGTGGACCATTAATTCTACTTTTTTGTATTGGCAAAGAATTTTTTTCCTTTGGGAACGTTAACACTCTTTCCTGGCTCACAGATCATTCTCCACAGGATTCATAACACCCCTGGCAATTGTACAGATAATTTTTCTGTTAAAACGTTGCAAGATCCATTTGAATTTTATAGCTTTAATTCCACTTGACATATATTAGAAATTGTCTATTTAATTATTCTAATCCGATGAGACCATTTCATCCTTATTGAACTTTAATGAGTTAGGCTGCTTTCTGGCTCATGGGTTTGATCGTCCCCCACCCTTAAAATATGGTATTGCTTTCCCTCTTCATGAGCAGAGAGAACATTCCCAGCATTACAACTCAAAGCATTTAAGTAATTGCTTGTTTGTTGGGTGAAGGATATGATTGAGTTTGTTATAAGCATTTACCAGTTGTCAAGCCATTTGGTTAGTTTTGCCACTGTCTAGGGCTGTTGCCTGTTACCTTTATTCTACACTTAGGGCATGAGTGACTAAAAACCAAGATGGCAGGGATTGAGAGGGGAAAGCTAACATAGAAATCTACATCTAAAAGGAGATTTTTGTTTCCATGCTTAGCATAAGCATATAAATTTAAGCCATTCTGCAGCAGGAAGTCTCTGTACTGAAAGCAATGAAAATGCTTTATGTACAAGAGGAACAATCCATTTCATGGGGCAGGTCATCTTCACCGTCAGTCTCATGTGCTTTCATCACATAGTAACGGCCCTTGAGAGTTTACCGACCATCATAATCCTCTGCGGAAGAATAAAAGTTAGGAAGTGCCTTGTGCTTGTCACTATCTGCTTGAGGAAGAACGGACTCTTGATTATCTCTACTGGAGCCTTAAAAACTGGCCTAGTGAAAACTAAATGATGCCAGGTGATTACTGCCCACCCTACTGGCTGCATACTCTTAGATTTAAATCCCACCCATGCACATTGAATGCCACTGGGCAAGGGGTGTTTCCCCACAAGTGATCTCATTTGACCCTTGCAGCAATTGTATAAGCTGACTATTATGTCTCCACTTTAGAGATGAGAAACATGAGGTCAAATTTCGGTCTAAATAAATTTTCTAATTCAGATGAGATCTCTGATTCTGGATCTAGGTATCCTTCTTTCCCTTAGACCTTTTGTGGAACCTATAGACTGTTTAAATTATTTAATAGGTGGAGTTTTTTTTGTGTTTGTTTCTGGTTTTCAAAGTTGCTATAATATGGTTATAGAAGAACCTTGTAAAATCTCTTCTGACTCTCCGATATCCATGACACATTCTGTTGTCGTTTATAAAATGCAGCTATAAAATATCTATTTGGTAGATACTCTATCACCAATTTGACCCCCAAGATTTTTCTGTTGCTTTGCCAAGAATGTGGACATGTTTGAGCATGTAATTCGTGGTGCGTCTATTTTCACAGAAGCCAAAAAAAGCCTTGTGCAAGAATAGCAGTGACAAACATTTCTCTTGATGTCTCTATTAATGCAGAATGTTGGGCAAGAGACCTTGGGGCAAGGTAGGTGTTAAAATGAACATGTCTTGATGATGTTCATTTGTGGGCCTGAGGCCTCAGCCCAGGGGCAGATGGTAGGTTGATTCTATTTTGTGCGGATTCCTTTCCTGGAAATTGGTTTCTAAATTCTCCATGCCCGTTATAGGCAGTGTTTGGGTGGAGCTAGTTTAGACCATACAGTCAAAAAGAAAGGAGGCCCAATTTTATGTCTACTTCTAAGAATGAATGAAAAATCATTATTTTTCTTTAGACCTCAGTTTCCTTCTTTTGAAAAAGAGGTAATGACAGACCTCCCTCTCATCTGAAGGATGGCAAAATCCTTTAATAGGCCCAGGGTCTCGGTCAGGACCAAATTTGTCTTCAAATTTAATAATGTTGTTATGTTTCGGAGATCATGGTTTGACCTACAGATGATCCAAAACTAAGCTGCAGTGTGGTCTTAATTCTTAGCAGTGGAATGCGGAATATGTTTTCACAATCAGGTAGAGGACATGCTAATGAGTTATTGTAATAAACTTCCTTCCCTAGTGAAATTCTTTATTGAATGAAATACTTAAGGGCTAGTCATTGATAATTATATGTGTAAAACGAAATAAGAGAAGCATCTCTTTGGAGATTTTTGTTAGGGGTAGAGATTCTGATGCCCTCTTCTTTTCATTAAGCTAGGGTACTTGGCAAACAATATAACTTTTTATTTTTTTTTAACCAAATTGAGCAATACTTTCAGCTCCTCCTGAAGTCCTCCCATCTAATCTGAGAAGACAGTGACAGGTGTCCCTGTGGCACACATTGAACTTGCCTTTTCTCAGACAGTGTCTGGTAAGTCCAGAAACTGATGTCACTTCCACAAATAAACAATCCGTAGCTTCAGTTGTGTACTATAATATCTTGTTATCTGAATAGTTTCTTCAGGCACTTCTTTTAGGTTTTGCATCAATGTATCGCTTGGTATCCAGGAAAGGAAAACAGTAGAAAATGAAGGTCTTAGCATTCATTCCAGAATTCTTGAACATCAGCTGGAAATGCAATTAGGATATAGCCTGATACGAAACACTCAAGATGTCTGCCATTTTCTCGCTCACACACAAATTGAAAAGTATTGTACAGTGCTCTTTGGCTGCTGTGGCCACAGAGAAAATATATATAGACACTTGAGAAACCCAGTGGTCATTAGGATATGCCTTGTTGGAAAAGTTTGAGACACTCTTGAGTTATCTCCCTTTAATATTGCTAACATCGACAGAAATGACTTAAATATCCTTCATTCCAATGTAATATAATGTGTAAGATATGTCATATGTTTACTAGTGCTGACTTTGACTGTAATGTAAATACTATAGAAATGTCAGTTCTGAAAATATTTTTTAAATACTTAAAATTTTAAGATAACAGAGTTTTCAAATATTGCAGTTAGTCCTGATTATGTTTTCCCATTTAGTTTTAACAAATTATGCTTATTAATTTTGGGACATTAAAGTACAACATAAATTTAAACCAGACACTCCCCCCCACCAATAAAGGTAACAGTGAGAATCAAGGCATAAATACAAAGTCTGCTCAGCAACCGTAGAATATTTAGCTTCCTAAATATATCTTGTGTGTGGGAAGCTGGGAGAGGAAAATTAAATTCTTACATTTCTGAAGTGGATGGGACCAGTAGTATTTGAAGAAGCCAAGTAGAAAACGGAAACGCTTAAGCTGGCTTTGCCCCTTGTGGAGAGATGCTTGGCTGGGTCCTTTCCCACGGGGCCCTTTCCAGAGGACTGAGTCCATTTCGGGAGGAGCTTGCTATAACCTGATGGCCCCGGGCAGAGAGCGGAGATGGGCTGGTGTGGCTCAAGCTGGCATTCTTGGAACAGGAGCCTGTGGTTTCTCTGTTACTTCATCTTGTTAAATCGGTCCCGATGAGTGGGGTGGATACCAGAGATAGTAGTCGCTCACCCGCATTGCCTTGTAATTAAAGCCCTTGCAAGCTCTGTCCTCAGACAGCAGCTGGAGGAGGCGGAGATGGAGGAAAGGGGCTGAAGAGGAAGTGCCCCCTCCCAGGCTCTGACCTCACTCAAACCCCAATCTGTGTCTTGGAAAAGTGTTTCAAAGTTGGCTTGAGCCACTCTTAGGGGAATGTCTTAATTTAACCTTCTGGGAACTGGCTGTGTTGTGAGTAGAACAGATATGATGACATGGGGTACGTCTGAAAAGTGTTCTGTGATCCCGCAGCATCCATGCGCTAGTACAGGAAGGTACCTTTGCCTCGTCATTTTCAAATCAAGTGTCTTTGCATTCCTTTTCCTTGGAATATAATGTTTTATTCTTTAAGCAAGAGTATGTGATAAACGTATCCAAAATATGGGAGGATGTAGTGTAATCATAGAGAAAGTAACAAGGAAATGTTCTCTTCTGGATGCAAAAAGAAATTCACTGTCAGTAAGAAGAGTTTAGTTATTGCGTGTCCATTCCCAGCATTGGATGATAACTCCAAAAATCTCTTGGACAAGAATAGTTAAAATTAAGCAATGAGAAATGAAATAAATGTAAAAGTGTTAATTCTTATTCCAAGAAGTTATAATAGATTTTGTTCATCCAGTTACCACAGGCATTCTTCTAAGTTATTTTTTTAGTTTTCAATGTGAACATGTGTTAAACAGTATCTTAAACCCATGTGTAGCCAATTAATTCATGAGTGCCAGTGTTTTAAATGTCCTATGACATAAGCTTACTATTAGCTCCATTTTTAATTGGAAACTTGATTCTCGTGCTTGAGTTTTATGAGTCTATTTCCTCAGGCAAAAGCATCAATGAACACTGTTGGTCACACATTGTCTCTTATTTTAAGGGGTTTTAAGAAGGTGTGGACCTTAAGATGCTTCACACATACACACAAGCACACAAACACACACTATATCACAAAGCAATCAGAGTGTTCTATGTCGTACAGAACTCTATAATTCTACTTTTTATATTGGGTATAGAACCTAAATATCTTAGTACTCTCATTCACCAGAATTCCTGTTGAGATAAGAACACATGTGTTTAAAAAGTTCTGTGGTGAGTTTCCTGGGCTGGAGTAAATGTCCAGGGATGTCAAATGCCTTCTAAGGATAGTGGGTCCTGTTGACCAGAGGGCCCTTTGATTTGTCCAGCAACATTTGGGGTTACCGGTGAATGGCTCTGGATTATAAAGGGGTGAGAAATTTTAAGGAGAAATTTCTTAGGGAGAAAGGTTGGGTGCAAATGAAATGGGCCTCAGGTGGGAAATCCTGGTAGCCATGCTTAGTTACAAGATGAGCTGGGAGCAGCAGAAAGGTTTAATGATAAGTTTTTTGCATTAATTCTTTTTGTGTGTGGTAAAAAACATCATAGAAATTTTACCATCTGAGTCATTTTTTTCTGGTAGGATGTGTTTATATCTACATGGTACATTTTAACGATCTTAATTCATTTCATTTCTTAAGTGCACGGTTCAGTAAATACATTCACGTTGTTGTGCAACTGATCTCCAGACCTTTTTCATTTTGCGAAACTGAAACTCTATGCTCGTTTAAACAACTCCACATTTCCTCCTCCCTCCAGCCCCTGGCAACTAATAAGACAATTTTACAATGTGGTGGGTTGTGCAATATAACTTCTGTCTTTGCTTTAAAGAAATCTGTGTTGCTCTCTAATGCTTTCATGAAAATTGGGAGAACTTGAAATGGTACTGAGTTTATATGTCAGATTGGGATGAAGAGAAAGCTTGAAGGAGCTAGGGGCTAGAGTGACATCTGGAATCCTTTTGCTCCCTGAAATACTGAGCATTAAGTATTTTTGGCTTGTTCTTTTTTAATTGGCACTACTTCTTAATTATGGGAAATTTTGAAATATTTTTATGTATAAGTAGCGTGATTATTCCTGCTAAGAGCATCTGTGGACACTGACTATATCTTGAAATATTGCCTATCCTCATATATCATTAGCATGATCACGCTACCTATATATATATATATATATATATATATATATATATATATATATATAATAATAATGTCTTCAAATTTTCCACAGTTAAGAAGCACCAATGAAAAAACAACCAATGAAAAAATTCTCACTTAATAAAAAGCCTTGCAGGGTGGCAAGCTAAGAGAGGGAAAGACGCCTCCCTCTTCTTAAGAAAATTATCGGTGTAATTTTCAGTTTTCCTTCTTAATTCTAGCAGCAAAGGACACTTCTCTCTTTATATGGCTGCTCTCATATTTATCCTCTACTGCACACCTTTATACAGAGTCATAGAATCTTTTGGGTGTCACATACGTAACTATGCTGAATCGTGGTTGAGGTACCTACATGTGACAAGTTATAGATTGAACCGAGTATAGCTTATGAGTGTTCATAAGGACAGGAAATACCATGTTTTGCAGTGGATGATGTGCACTTTTTAGCCCAAATTTGTGAGGGAAAAATAAGGGTGCTCCTCTTACATGGGTAGTACTCATTCCGTATCTTTATAAATGTTTTAAATTCTTTTATTTATGCTTAAGAGTTAAAAGTATAATCCTACAAATCAATAACGATATCCATATGCAAAATAAAATACCCTGGAATATGATAATCGGTTTTGTTGAACTTATGACAAACTTGCAGTGAAGAAGAGTTCTTGGCCTTCTATGATGCATAAATATCGTAAATTTGTTACCGGTACATAAAATTTCTTGTATCTGTTCTTGTGTTTTGTCATTATTTGTTACATAAAATTTCTTGTACATAATGTTAAAAAATGAATGCTAAAATTTTTTTATAATAAAAAAACCAAGTACCTACATGTAAACAAATAAAAATTTGAATTAAAAACTTAAAACGAAAGATTTTTTCCCCTGAAAGTTTGGGCCAAAACGTGGGTGTGCTTTATACACAACAAAATATGGTAGGATGCATGGAGTCTCAGGACCTTCCAATAGGCAAATCCTTTAACAAGGCATGGATGATTTAATAGCAGTTTGGCTATGGTGCCCAGAATAAATTGCTTTCATTCTCCTTACTGTTATACCTGGTAATTTGCCGGTGTAACAGGTGAGAATTGATGAGGGGTGATGATTTCAAGGACACAGATGTGGAGGAGCCAGGGATTCTGGATTCTTTTGGCATCAGCTTTATCTCATGGGATGGGTTGTACTGTACTAGTACTGGGTGCCACTTTGCCAGGTATTTCTATGTAGAAAGGGGTAATGGTTCCAACACGTTGACTTTATGCTGTGAATGTGTTTGTAAGGCAAAAGGGAAAGATGCTATATAATGTAATTATCAGTGGATTTTCCATGAATTAGAACACAACAGATGCTCTACGTGAGGTAAATTTCCTCCAAATCTATTTCGAATTTTATTTCCTTTAGAAGATCTCTACTCAGAGGCCTCAGGATAAATAAGAAAAGTCATCTCATCTATAAATTAGACAATAAACTTTGTAGAATTTCTATTGCATCCTGGGTGGGATCGCTAAGTGTGACACCCAAAAGATATCTGTGTCCTTGAGAGGAACAAGTAGTAAGAAATTCATTAGTTCTCAATTAACTAATATAAAATTAGTGAGAATGTGACCTAGTCAGACACCTACCTTACATGTATCGACTACCGTGAAGAAAGGATTAGACTGAAGAGCCCATTTAACAATGAAATTGTATTTTTCAGATATTATGTAACATTTTCCTATAAATAATTAAAAAGGATGCTTAAAAAAAAACCTCCTTAAATGACTATTAACTAGCGTTGCTAAATGTAATGCTTTTAATAACATGTTGCTAACTAGAAATCAGAATTATGGACTCCTGAGCTAGTTCTTTAAAAAAGAATTTCTAAAAGGAGGATTTTCAACAAGTTACAGTTTAGCAAGTCTTGCCTGCTGGCTTCCATTCCCTCATGGATGGGAGAAAAGCAAATGATTCCATGCCCTCACATCTTACAAGCATCGTTTTGCTGAGGTTTGGTCTTTCATATGGTTTGTTAATCCTTGCAAGCATCACTCCCAGCTCTTCTCAGAAGACAGCCTTTCTTGTAGGGCTACTCCACTCTACAAGGTGAGGCGATGCCTCTGGGCCGCAGGACCAGAAAGCATTTCAGTTGAAACAGACAACTGACATATTTCCTCACCGCTGCCCTTCTCCAAAGCAGAGATCAGGACTTGTGGAGAGAAGCGCAGAATCGTGAGGAGACCTAATTTTACTCGAACGCATGGCATGTAACTGACATGTAGTGAGTGGGTCTCTCAGCTCTGGCTCTGGCCTGAGAATGTCAGGGAATGAGCCTGGAAGATGAGCGTGGCGGAAGATCGGTCCCCCTTCTCGTTTTTCAGTCAAGTAGAATCAGCCCAGTTCTGTCCCGTGTTGACTGACAATGCTATTCTCGTGCAATAAAAAAATCTCTCTCTTGGGCCGGCTGAGTGGCTCAGTTCGTTAAGAGCTTGCTCAAGAGTGTGAGCTCTGAGGAACAGGGGTTCGAGTCCCGGCTGAGCTTAGCAGCCGCTGAGCTGCCAACAGGTGGCAGGATGGCTCAGCTAAAAAAAAAAAAATCTCTCTCTAAAGAACATCAGCAAAGCAAAAATGGTTGGTAATTTATTCTGATGCAAGAAAATGGACTGATTCCTTCTTGTTGTTTGTGAAGCCTCTGCCGCCTTGTCATGGCTCCCTGGAATCCATGCAGGTCTTCAAACAGCACTGCCAAATAGCGGAAGAATACCATGAGGTCAAAAAGGAAATCGCTCTGCTTGAGGAACGCAAGTAAGTACTGAGCGCTGTCCACTGTCGACTGGTCATGGAGGGGTGGGGGCGGGGGAGTGTGTGTGTGTGAGGAGGCGCAAGTAGGGAAGGGACGGGCTGAGTGTGCGGAGACAGGTAGGGAGAAGGCAGGGGAGGAGAACCCACATTCCAGGGTTCAGAGTCACCGGGCCACTCCCATGTGTGCCATGTTTGATTACAGAAATGATCCAAACAGCACTGCTGTAGGTTACATGCTTTATGAGTAGTGAGAGGAACAGCAGGAATACTTCCTTCCCCAAAACCTAATTTTTAGTAAGCAATTTTAGCTCAGGAAATTAAAAATGCCAAAATAGCACCGGGAGCCATACTACGTTCCCAGTGAACTTGCCCAGAAGACCCGGAACACTTAGGCTGGGGGTGAATTTTGATGAATGCTTATATGGTGGAGTTCCCACATTAAGTAAAGAAGCCACTGTGAGGCTCTTTGAAATCAGGTAAATGTATACTTGACGATGGAGGAGTAGACCATCTGCATTTTATAGTCCAATAATCTGAGTAAGTTGATCTTGATAGCTTCTATTATCATTAGTGTTCAGCCGCCAGGAATCATAGTTTTATTAATTAAAGCACTTGAATTTTACTCACTCATAACTTTCTGTTTCAGAATTCTCCTCCTTTTTAACTGAACTCGGTTCTGCCGATGTTTACCCCAGTGATCCCTATCCTTTCATACTTTAAAAGCATCAGACACCTTTCTGTCATAGCCTGGTCAGTTTGTAATGATACATTTATTAGGGAAACCTTTCATTAATGTTTCCTCCTGCTGAGTGGTCAGTGTCCGGCATCATTCACCATTGTTTTGCTGATGTCCAGCACAGTCCATAGCATGTCAATGCTGAATAAGCTTACGTTGAATGAGTGACACATAATCCAAATGCATTGTCTGTAACTTGCTGCTTCTCTCCTTCCTCCTGCTGGAGTGATCTATGATATATATTCATCACTGAATTTTTAAATCAAAGCAAGTGAAGCATATTTTTGTTTTGAGAAATTTATGAAATTCTTGGAACTCTTTGGAGACCCCCCCCACCACCCCACACCCAGAATGGTGGTAGGACAGAATAACATGGTGGGGGTGGTATGCATTTTGGGGCTAGACTCCTGTACTTACTGTAAGACCTCAGTTACCATGTTACAAGCCTTTTCTTACTTCCTCCTTTTGTTGTATTTCAAACATAAGATCATACCTAGCTGGACTTTGGGTTATAGGGGATAAAAAGTGTTTATGAGATCAGAAGTACAACTTTATCCTCATATGTCTGAGATTTTCTTTTTGGTCTGAGAGTTTTCCTAAATTGATTGGAGTGTGCATATTGCCCATTTATACCCCATCTGAGTCCTAAGAAAAGTTTCATAAAGGAACTGAAGAAGCTTATTAATGACATGACCAATGGTGAAGTTAAAGGAAGATTTATATAATCTGTAGCTTACAGATGTCTCTTCCAGTGTGTGTGTATGTGTGTGTACACTGTGGTGTCACAACAGAAAAAAACAGGCGATTATGTATTTATTTGTAAACTCTTTAGCTTGAATGTCCTGGTTGACCTTGTTGTTTAAATTAACCAATGTATGGCTCTTTATTTGTGGGGGGACAATGCAAGACTCATCCACTAAATTATATGTTTTATAAGTGTAAATTTTTGTATATGGCATTTAAAAAATATGATAGGATAATGATATGAGAGTGACTCATGTAGTCTTTGATTGAAACACATTCCTGCTGCTTGTGTTTAGAGCAGTGATAACTGTGGGTACCACCACAGTAGTAAAATAAGAAAGGCAAAGTTGACTTCTAGAAAGAAAGTGGCTTAAGAGGCCAGTGGATATACTTTTTACAACCTGCCAAACCACAAAGATGCTGGCCAACCCCCCGACTTAGCTACTCATAAGCCTTCCTAGGTAATTGGCTAGGTGTGGGGCAGAGGCCGAATTCTTTTATTATTATTTTTTCTTTCTTTTTCATAAAGTCTTCCAAATTCCTTCTTCTCCATTCCTGCTTCTGCCATTTGGAATCGGGACTTGAAAAATCTCGGTCAATGTCATAGTATAACCTGTTCCCTGACTATGGTTTCCCATTGCTAGAAAAGGATACCCAGTTCTTGTCCCGGATTCCAAGACCTACCTCAGGATGGCCTTAGTGCCTTTGTAGAATGTTTGCTCTGCTCCCTTGTCTTGAACTACCCTGGACTATTCACGTTCCCGCCTCTGCACCCTTGCTCTCACAAAGCTCAAGGTCTGCAGTGCTCCTTCCTTTCAGCTTGCCCAAGGCTACCCTTCTTGAGGAAAGCTTGGCCCATAACCCTGCCCCAACCATCCTGCAGTGATCAGCTCTCTTCCTGAACAAAGGAAAATTCGCTGCAGTGATTCTTTTGGCACATTTTGTAGGCTGCTGCTCTCAGTAGTTACCCATTTACGAGTAAATTTATGTCCTGTGTTTCTGACTGTGTAAGTTCCCTACAGACATGGACACCCTTTAACATCTCCTTGTATCCCCATCACTGAGCAGGGAGGGGCACCTAGGGTCACATACGAGTGAGGGGCTGATTACAGGAGATAGGGACATCCTCTGTGTACACGTTTTATTTGTAACTTCTGTGGCGTATATTTAGCTCAGGATCACTGAGCTAAATTGTTAAGCTGGGAAGTATGGTTATATCTTCTATTTTACAAATGAATGAGGTTGGTCCTCCAAGGGTATATATTGGTGATCATTGTTTTCATTAACACTTGACTGAAGCGGAAGTTCATTTTGCAACACACATTTTCCTGAACAGCGTTTGTTTTCAAGCAAGATAATTTGGATTTGACCCAAGTAATTGGCTCTTTGTTTTTTTGAGGATTTGGATGAAAATCTTGTCCTCATCCTTTCATAAAGTGTGGCTGATCCGATTGCCTCTGGTGATGGGCTAGTGTCAGCTAGGCACAAAAGAGAGATGCTAGCGCAGGTATTTTGGAAGAAGCGTTTTTCTTTATTGGAGTCACGAGGGACCAGGTGAAGCTGAACTTCCCTCGCGTCTCCAGCTGGGGTCGCCCTGGATCAAGTTTGGGCGACTGCAGAGGAGCCAGGAGAGTTGCTTAGAACTATTATTTTAAATTGTGTCTATTGGTTGGATAAAGAGAATCAAACCTTTTCTAGGATTATAAACCCAGCATGGAATGAATTTAATTTAAAGAATCACTTCTGGGTTATTAACCAATAATGTAAGAAAAGCTTATTCTTACTTTCATTGGAATTTTTTTTTCTTATCAACTGAAAAAAAAAAGCCAATTATGTTGAAAGCTTTAAAAAATTACCAAGAATTCTGACATCTTTACAGAACCCCTGCTATCATTCTGCCTTTTGTATGTGAATAAATACTTTTATATAATTACGTATATAATAACATGAACTATGTACATGCTTTTTAAAATAAATATAAGCTTTTATATAATACATATCGTTTTTTGTGTATATAATGGAAACGCATGGAAGTGAGATATAGACGTTTTATTATTTTTGAAATTTATTACCGAATTGTTTTACAGGAAGTTTTAAAAGTATACAATTAAATGACAATTAAATCTACAATTAGATTTCCAATTAGTAAAGGTTGCTTTGATCCTGATAGAGTATTTTATCTTGTTCGAAGGAGAAACCACTTGTCTGTTCCTAGTACGAAATATTGTGCTAGGTGCTGTGGCGTTTAAAAGATTGACTTAGAATGTAAGAAAAGGTGACAAACTCTTAGAAAAGTCAGGTTAAAAAAATGGTATGTAATTAAAAAAAATAGTTCAGTGGTTTTCAGCATACTCACAGAGTTGTGCAACCATCATCACAATTTTAGAACATTTTCATCACCCCAGAAAAAAACCTTGTACCCTTGACTCATCACTCTCCGTTTCTCCCTCCCCACTACCAGCCAGCCTCTGGTAACCACTAATCTACTTTCTGTCTCTATGGATGTGCCAATTCTGGATATTTCATATAAATGGAATCAAACAACATGTAGTCTTTTGTGACTGGCTTCTTTTACTTAGCATAATGTTTTCAAGGTTCATTCATGTAGTATGCATCAGTATTCATATCCTTTTTATTGCTGAATAATATTCCATTATAAGGATAGACCACGTTTTATTTATCCATTTCATCAGTTGATGGACATTCTAGTTGCTTGGCCTTTTGGCTGTTATGAATAATGCTGCTACAAAATCCATGTACAAGTTTTTCGGTGGACATATGCTTTCACGTCACGTGTGTTGTGTACCTAGGAGTAGAATTGCTGGGTTGTATTTTAAGTCAATGTGTAACTCTTTGAGGAACTGACTGTTTCTAAAGTGGATGCAGCATTTTATATTCCCACCAGAAATGTATGAGAGTTCCGATTTCTCCACATCTTGGCCAACATTTATAATATCTTTCAGATTATAGCCATCCTAGTGGGTATGAAATGATGTCTCATTGTGGTTTTGAGTTACACTTCCCCAATGGCTAAAAATGTTGAGCCTCCTTTTCATGTGTTTTTTTCTCATTTCTTTGTCTTCTTGGAGAAATGTCCATCAGCTCCTCAGCCTATTTTTTGAATTGAGTTATTTGTCTTTTTTATTATTGAGTTGAGAAAAAATGTTATAGAATTTTAGTGGGTTCATGCAAAAACATCAGAAAAGAGTTTCCATATGGAAATACCAGAATCAACGTCAGACATATTTTCATGTCTTTTTAAAATACATAAAACGATGAATGGGGGAGCAACAGCCTCATTGAGGGGAACATATAAAGATGAGGGAGAAGGGAACATATGTAATTTTTAAAAGCATAGTCTAAGAATAGCCCTGTTTTGATTTGTTTTTAGTCATGGTATTTAATTTATTCTGAAATTTCCAGTGACAAGAGATTTTTATGTTTGGCTAGAAGTGTTTATTTCTTTAGGACATTCCCAAAGGCAGAGGTTTTTAATCTGTGTTCTGGGGAACCTCTCAAAGATTGGAAATGGAGAGGTGTCAGGCAAGGGACTGTATAATGGCCAGGCAGAGAAATCCATTTTATCTGTTTTATTTGCTTCAAGGTATGATTTTCTTTGAAAAGGACCCCACGGCTAGGAAACATTGAAAACTAAAGCTCACTATTATATTCCAAGCATATTTTCTTACAAATAAGTACCCAGCCCTCCAAAGTGAGGTTTTCAGTGTCATAAAGAAACAGTAAATGGAAATATTACCCCACGAGTGTTTGCAGGGTATATAGCAACGTGACGGGAAGTTCCGTCCTCTTTCCTAAGATGTCTGATCTAGTGAGATGCCCTGTGGGTGCAGTATAGGATTTCACCTCATTTTCCACCAGGGGAGATTGCTTCCTGAGACTCACCTGGCGAGCAAGAATCCAGGACAAATCCTGGTTTGCAATAGGATTTCAAAAACCCTTGCTGAGCGAAAGAAAGAAGGACCAAAGAACTGTCTTGGCGCCTCACTTTGCTCAAGGAGGCAGAGAGAGAGCCAAGGGGATTCTTTCACTTTAGGATTTAGTTTCGTGTGAAATCCCAATATGCCAGACTTTTCAGGCTGCGAGATTACACTTTCCATTAATGCCCCCACTCATAATGGTCTGGGCCTTTTGTATCACCTAATTACATGAAGTCCAATCTTCTAACTGAAATTTCATTTCTAGGTGTCTCTTCGTCTAATTCTCTCCCTGGAACCACATGAAAAGGGACAAAATATTTCCCTCTCTTCAATGAGAGTGTCTTTCAGTAGGTCTCCCTCTCTGAGGAAAGAGGCTCCAGTCTCCAGGGGAGCAGAGGGAGGAAATTTTACCTTTCACCTTAGTCCTGTCTCAGGATTAACACTTTTTGGGGTGATAGTGGAAATCTCCATTTTTTTTAGAGTAATGGTTTTTAATCGGGCCAATTCCTCTGTGTCCCCTTCACCCCCTGGGATATTGGCAATGTCTGGGGATATTTTGGGTTGTAATAATGGGGTGGGGAGAGATAATACTGGCATCTAGTGAACAGAGGCCAAGGATGCTGTTAAACCTTCTATAAGGCCAATGTATAGGACAGCCCCCAACAACACAGAGTTGTCTGGCCCCAAAGAGCAATTGTGCCAAGGCAGAGGAACTCCAGAGCAAATCTCACTTTTCCCCACAAGGGTATAGCGTTGCCTTTGGTTTCCAAAAAATAAATAAATAAATAAAATACATGTATTCCTTATGCGTTATTCATTTGTAGGTCTTCAACACCACAGTCTAGACTGTGCTTTGGAAAGTCCACTTCAGTAGCATTCCTTCAGCTGCATGAAATGAAGATAGACTTTCACATGCTTTTTTTTTTTCCCCCCACCTCCCCCACATGCTTTTTTAAATTTATTTTTTATCCTAAGGCATTTGCTCCTTCTCTCCTGTGTATAAATGCTTGTACTAGAACACACATCTCTCAAGAACCAACAGTGCAGTCTATATCACTGCTTAAAATAAAACTCTCCCTAGGATGAAGATAGAGTTTTATTATATTATCTAGAACTCTTTAGCTCATTGGGGCCAAACTGTCTAGGATTTTGTCTTTTCCAAAAAAAGTCTTTAGTCAGTTTTGAAAGTCCCAACAACCATGGTAGTGGTCTTTCCGGAAGCAGGGACATCTTTGTCCTAATGATGAATCCGTGTCCTAACCTCTTAGAATACAAAGAATCTCCTTCATTGTGGAATCAGTTTCCACAAAGTTTCAAAGTTCTCTTTACCGGTTCACTTGGACTTCCCTTTCCCCCATTTGTTTTAGCAAATAAAAGCTTTTTCAGGTATGTGGCTTAGGATGTGGACAGCAGGTGATTTATGGGGGACCTGAGGTTATGGCTTTTTCACTGGTGAGGTACCTCATGTAGAAAACTAGGTTCTTGACTTCAGAACTAAGATTCCTCTAATGGTGGTCTTCTCCCCCCATATCACACTATCTAGAAGGAAATGATAGAAATGATAAGCAAGAAGTCAAAGGCAAGACTGCATTCTAGCCAATTATAGATATTGATTTGTTCCTCAGATCATCTATTTATAAGATTGTCTCTGTAGCTTGATGTGCCAGGTTTAATTATGAATTGTTAATGGATGAACATAAATATGTCTATATAAATAGTTCTCAGACAGGAGACAATAGACATTTTGACAGTATTTGCTGAATGTATGTATAATTGCTCATCAAATACATGAAGCTAATTTAGAAACCTATCAATTAAGTCTTCCTGATTCCAGTGAGGAAGAAATTAATATCGACTTTATGCAATGCAAGAAGATTAGGTAATCATGACCATATCTTTTAGTTGTAAAATCTGTGATTTATTTTCTCCACCAGTCAAAACTACTAACAGATGTCCTTGGGAATTTTAAATGAGATCAGCTATGGACCCAGGAAAGTAGCCATTGTTCTATCCAGTATGGCCAACTCCCTGGCAATGTTTTGAAAGCAAAACTCTATTTCTACCTGAATTATACTCATATGTGTGACACAGTTAATTTGAAAGGAAAAAAAAGAACAGGATTAGATAATCTGATGGGTGGAGGGTTTAGAGGCCTGTTTCATATTTTAGTTATATAAGTTTTACTAATCAATTTCTTTAAAATAGTTACATAAGGGACTTTACTAATATTTAATTATCGACATTTAGTGCTTCAACCATGCTTATTTGACAAAGAGCCCTAAACATTTGCTAAGAATATTTCGACATCTGACTGTTTCTTACTAGCTGTATGACTTTTTCAATTAAATTATGCATTTTGAATTTCTATTTCTTCATCTTTAAAATATATTCTACTTGACTCTGAGGCACCTTCCTCTCCAGTTACTTGTTCAGTAAGTATTTATGGGGAGCCTTTATATTGTAAACGCCATAGATGGTCAAAGATCAATAAGAGTCCAGAGGAAATTTGTGTGTGTGCATATCAGTGTTCCAGATTATCTTCCTTTTGTCCCTGTTGTATCTGTCAGGCTCCATTGCCCTATCTATTCCAGTATTTTCCTAAGAACAAGGGTACTCTCTCACTTAAACACAGTACAATCATTGAAATAAAGAATTTTAGCATCCATATGGTGCTATTCTAATTCCCAGGGTGTATTTAAATTGCATCCATTTCCCAATAATGCCCTTCACAGCTATTTTTCTTTCCAGTCCAGAATTGCACATTGTTTTACTTTCAATTCTCTGCAGTTTCTTTAAATATAGAACAATTCCTAACATTTTGAAGAGCATAGGTTAGCAATTTTGTCGAAGGTCTCTCCATTTGATGTTGGTGTGTGCACCTGGGGCAGGAATGCCACAGAAAGGTTGCTGTGTTCTTGTTGGTGCCTGTGATAGCTGTTTATCTCATTACCCGTGATATCACTTTTGATCACTTGATGGAAGTAGTCTTCCAGGCTTCTCTGCACTTTTCCCTACAGAGAAGGAAGAAATATGACATACCCTTACATTGAGGCAAAGGCGAACTCGGATCTAGTTTAGAATTAATTGACCCACATACGGGCAGTGGACCTGTTCTGGGTTGTCATGTTTATGAAATACAAACATGGACTGCAAATCTTGAGCTCCTTATTATGTGTATTTACATCAATTAATTATGTACAAATATGTACTGAGAATTGAATCTGTTTAAGGTGTTATCATGACAAGTTCTCTCCAATAACCTTAGCCGCTTCCTGAGTTCTAGAATCAGGCCAGCGCCAGTTGTAGATAATTGTTTCATTAATTAGGGCTGCAAGATATGTGTGTAAGGACTAGGAAGAGACATGGAAAATTATAGCTGCGGGAAGGAGGTGGAATTCTGGAGTTCAAATAACTATTAAAGATTTGTTCAACTGAGAAGTAAAAAACAAAGGAAGATAACTGAATTTGGAGGACAAAGATTAGGTAAGGGACAAGCATCGTTCTCCTACCCATAAGACAATAGAAAGCATCTTAAATTATAAATGGGTTATTTTATTTTCCCCCTAAACTAGGTGGAATTTTTACAATTTGCTGTTGTCTTAAAAAGATCTCCTTTGTTGACTCTCGAAGGATTTATTGAGCATTTTTTGACGTATGTGTAGTATTTTCGATGTGTCTGGTTAGAGATGCTAGAATAAAATAAGGGATTGAAAACTCATGAAGCTGGCAAAATCCAAGTAAGTATTTGGTGGCAAGTGGAGACGGGTAAAATTTAGAGGAGCACAATGGAACGTGCTGCTTCCGTTATGCTCGTACTGTACAATTTAATTCGTTTGCATTAAATTTTGTGCTTCTTCCTTGCCCGCTCCCAACCCTGCAGAAAGGAGCTCATTGCCAAGCTGGATCAGGCGGAAAAGGAGACGGCGGACGCCGCGCAGCTGGCCCGGGAATTCGAGGCCCTGACGGAAGAGAACCGGTCCCTGAAGTTGGCCCAGTCACAATGTGTAGAGCAACTGGAGAAGCTTAGAATCCAGTATCAGAAGAGACAGGGCTCGTCCTAACTTCACATTATTCAATGCGAGCGTAAGACGTTGGTGACTGCTATGTGCTGGCCAAAAGATTTTTATTTTGTAGGGACAGTGAATAAAAGAGATCACTTCTCTTTATTACCCACATGGCAAACATCTGTAATGAGTTTAGTGCCTGCTAGATCTAGTTTGAGAGTAGGGATATTTTATTTTAAATAAGATAATTAAAGCCAACCTATTACCAGGATGTTTTCAGAGATCATCATTCATTTCCAAAGGTTTTTTTTTTTTTCTTATTTAGGAAGACATGATCATACTGTACATCAGGGTAGAAAATGATAAAAATAGAATATTGACTGACGTCGCTAAGAATCATAAACAAAATTAAGCCGTGAAACAAACCAGTAAGATGCTCACTGCAGTTCCACATCTGTGCATTTTTAAATTTCACGTCTTTGCTATTTCAACTGCGTTCAAATCTGAACCGTCAGAAACTTCTCCTCATATATTTATGTTCACCAGAGTTAGATTTAATCCCCCAGTGACTGACTGTACTAAGAATAAATGGTCATATATCATAAAGCATTCTCATGAAAGTATTAGCAGAAAGCATGTTTGTGCCAAAAACACATTTGCCAGTGCAAACTTGCTGTTGTAATAAAAAGCAGATAAGGCCACATTTTCTTCACGCCACGTTACTTCCCAGTAAACAGCTCCGCCTTTGCTTGTGTGTGTTCTGGGGCATGGGGAAAATGGAATAGAATTGTTTAGACATTACTTTGGTGAGTTTCTATGAAAACATCAGTAAAATTATAACTCTGACTTTGTTTTGGATTTAAGGAGATGTTTCGGATTAGTAATAACTACGAGAAATGTATGACTAAATTCAGGATTAAAATGAGTTCCCCCTTGTTCTTCCTATCATTATATTTCCCCGAATTGATCTCTTTGTTTTATGTCCATTTCTATTCATGTAACTTCTTTTTCATTAAACGTGGATCAAAACTGTCAGTCTGGCTTTGCCCCTTTGTTAGGCCCCCTTATGCTGAGAGTTGGAATTGGCTATCCCTAGTCAGAATTCATTCTTAGTTGCGTTTGCATGTGCCAAAAAAGCAGCAAAATCCCTTTTCTTGGAAAGACTGTGGTTTCTCATATAAACAGCTCACCTCTAATATTGAATATGATGCATTAGCATCTTAGGTATTTGCCCAGAAAACATAAAAGAGAATAGTTGATTATAAAGGGGGGGGGGGAAATAACCCCAATAAGATGGCCTGGGAAACACCAGTCATTATCAACTGGTGGTGATTTTGTGTCCAGAGGACGTTTGGCTAAGTCTAGAGACATTTTTTTGTGGATGTTGTTGTCACAACTGGGATGAGTGGGTACTACTGAAATCTAGAGGGTAGAGGTCGGGGATGCTGCTAAACATCCAGCAGTGCCCAAGGCAGCCCCCCAACATCAAAGAATTGTCTGGCCAGTGGCGCCGAGGCTGATGTGACTTGGGCTAGGCTCATCACCAGCAGCTTGGGCAGATGAGAACAGGGAGCACTTCTCAGGGCTCTGGATTTCTTGCCATGTGGTGTGGAGTCCATGAGGTCCGTCAGCATCCTGACCCTCAGTTTCCTCATTTGTAAAATGAAGCTTTTCCAGAGATCTCAAAGTGTAAAGGTTATGTGAACCTATCCACCCTTAAGTGGCTTTAACATTTGACCACAGGTGAAAGTCCCTATTATCCTGGCAGAACCTTTTCTTTTTTTTTTAAGTAATCCCAGGCTTATAAATACTAATACAAAGGAAGGATTTTTCACTAAATTTATACAAATCTAGAGTCAAAGGAGTGGGAGGAATAAGAGTAAGTTACAAACCTTTAAATACAGGATTAGTTTTTGGTCACTGCCCATCTGAAGAGGATTACATATATTTACAGAATTCAAGCAGTCATGGCCTCTTATAGAAAATGGGGGACAAGGAAATATAGTTCCAAAATCTCTGTGTTCTACCAGAATAAAAATAATTTAACGGAGTCAAAATATTTGAACACTACTGGTAGTACATTCAGAAAACACTGAGTAAATAGTTTTCATATCTGTGCTAGTCTCAGCTTGAAATTTTACTGTGCGTTTCCAAACGATATCTACTGGTGACTCAAAAGCAAGCATTCCTCTAGGTGTGTGTGTTTCAAGCAGGCTTTTATTCATTCATGATATGAAAGCATCACCTATTTTGGTAATATAATCAGAGAAATCTTAAAACAAAATTTGTTACATTATCAGTCTTTCCATTCATTTGGCAAGTTTCCCTCAACCTTATTTACCACTGCATATTATCTATAGAATGCAAAATCATATAAGAATTTACTACCTTCAAATACATTTATGATAATCCTGCTGTCAGCCATAATGAAAATGCTATAGAACCTTAAAAAGCAACACAGAGATCCATCAGTATCAAGGCGAACATGCTTGCTTTTGAGCTAGAATTAAAGGAAAAATCTAACCAGCTTTATATTCTGCTATTGCGCTGCTAAAGAATTTGCTATTTGTGGGGTGTTTTGTTTACGTAGTTGTGAAAAGAATGTGGTTACACGTGGCTGGAAGTCAAATTTCTAATCGTAGGTGTTGGCAGAGCATGTTTCTCTATATCATCCTGGTACATACTTGAGCTTGGGTATACCATTAACTCAGCACAAATAAGGAACTAAAAGGGATGTGGAATTCCAATAATTCAAGGAAAGTTTATGATACACTTATGTTGGGTCACAACCTTCTCGGGAGCTTCCCAGGTAAAATCTGAAACTCGCCCCCATATGCAGAGGGCAGGCAGAGGCCTAAGATAAAAGGCAGACCACTCCAGATTGGTCGGTGGCAGGTTTAACAAGCAAGGGAACTTACTTATGAGACTTGTCTCGGCCGGCCACAAGACAAGTTATTTTCCACACCCTCCTGCCAAATCTTAAAAGTTTATGTGGAGGCCCTAAGTGGGTTTAGTCACGTCTCCAGGGGTCTTTAACTGATTGTATCCAGTCCAGATAGTCTCAACACTACATTCTATCCCAAGGTGTATTCTTGGGTCAGCTTCTGGGAGCAGGGGAGGTGAGCAGAACGCACGTTCCCAGGACAGGGCAGGGTGGGAGCCTCCAATTGCTCTGCCTGGGTCTAGCTCTTGGGTCAAACCAGCAGTCAATTCTTTAAAAGAATTTTTTAACTGTAAAAATGTAAAAGGAGTTTATTAATTTTCTTTTGAAATTATTTGGCCTGGGTTACACATTTAATTTATAAATGACTTTGGTTTCTTGGCCATCAATATGGGTACTCAGGATAAGTGAGAAAAATCTAACCTACAAATTATTATCACATGTAAAGGTTTTTTTAAAAATGAAATGTATTGTGGTACAGTTGGTTAATAACTTTACATAAGATTGGGGTGTACAACATTATAATTTGTCTTGTTGACCTTCCTCAACAACTTACCAAGTGCAGGGCAGAGGAACAACAATAGAAGAAGCAAAAATGAATGACACAGTCCCAGTCTTCAATATGCTTCCAATTTAGTAACGGAAAGAGCACACGCATTCTAGCTCCTGGAAGACAAGGAAGAACATAGGCACAAGAAGATAAATAAAGTTTATAATAGGGGTTCAAAGAAGGGGAGAATGGCCTGAGCAGAGGCGCAGTGGTTGGGACGCATGTCGCGAGGGCCACATATTTGGGGGCAGGAAACAGCCTTCCCATAGAGCAGGGGTCCGCAAACTTTTGAGACGGAAGACCCAATCCTGTCCCTTGCAACAATTTAAAAATTATTCGAGAGCCATAAAAGAAATGAAATCACCATTATGTGAATAATATCCTTTAAAATTTTAATAAATGAAACTATGATAGTTTTGTTGTCATTTTCAATTTTACTTCAGAGCCACATGTTGCTCGTGAGCCACAGTTTGCCGACCCAAGCCATAGAGTGTGCGTAGTAGGACGATAGTGAGAAATTAAGTTGCAAAGTTCCACTGCACCTTGGGTGTCGGGGGAGGTTTGGACAAAATGAACATTTTGGAAAGAGGAGTAAATGTTCAGGGCTGGAGTTGAAGATAATATGGTTGCAGTGTGTGGAGGGTCTCGTTAGGTAGAGACAAGAGGCGCGAGGGATTGCTAGGAGGCTAATGGAAACGGCTGTGCAAGAAGAGAGTGGTAGCAATCGAAATGCAGTACCAGGCTAAGGGAGTCACAATGAGAGGTGGAATCCACGTGGCTTGGGATGGATTGCATCGGTAACTGAAGCCAGGAAAATGAAGAGAAGTAATATTTAATGAGCCCCTTCTGTGCCAGCCTCTGCTATGTGCTTTGTATTGGTTATTTAATTCTTATAACAACCTGAGAGGTAGCTATAATTATCCCCATTCTTCAAAACCAGAAACTAAGTTTCCATAATTTGTACAAAGTTCCCCAGACCTGGGATTTAAATACAAACTCTCTCTCTCTCTCTCTCTCTCTCTCTCTCTCTCTCTCTCTCTCTCCCCTCCTCCTCTCCCCCTCTCTCCTTCCTTTCAGTAACTATTTATCAAATGCTTCTGCTTCACTCGGCATTCTGGAAGATGCCAGGGACACAACAGCGAACAATAGAAATGTCTTCAATTTGCTCTTATCTTAGTAAGGGAGGGAAACATTTACCTAATTACCCACCTGGGGTAGACTTCAAATATATCCCAAAATCTCCTCGTAAGGTAGACCCTAATTCCCCTCCCCTTTTAGTGTGGCTTGAACTTAAAGACTTGTTTCTAACAAGCAGAATAAAGCAGAAGTGGCAGTATGTGATTTCTAACACTAGGTCCTAAAAGACATAGGAGCTTCCTTCTTGCCTGTTCTCTCCGATCACTGGCTCCAGGCTGAGCCAGCTACTGCGTTCTGAAGAGACTCATGGAGGCCTATGGAGAGGCCCACGTAGCAGGGAACTGAGGCCCCTCAAGAGAGCCTGGAGTCAGCGCCTCTAGCTCCAGAAAAGACTTCCAATGGCTGCAGCCAGGCTGACGTCCTGAATGTAACTTCATGAGAGACTCTGAACTAGAACAACTCAGCCAAGCTGCTCCTGGTTCCTGATTCTCAGAAACTTTGAGATAATACATGTTTGTTCTTTTAAGCCACTCAATTTTGGTGTGATTGGTTATGCAGCAATACATAACAAACATACCAAATAAATGAAGTCTGTGCCAAACAGAAAAGAAACATAGTTTATGAATGCACATAAGAAAGAATGTAACTGAGATGAGGAATCAAGGATGGTTTTCTTAAGATGGTGACTGCTGAACCAAGATATCTGATGGATGAGTCAGAGCTAATGAGGCAGAGAAGGCAGGTGGAGGAAGGCATCTAGACAGAGTGGAAACATGTGCAAAGGTCCTGTGGCATGTTCAAAGCCTTGGAGGAAGGCTGGTGTGGCTGAGCTTGAAGAGGTAGGGAGATGGTGGTACAAGCTGAGGTTGAAGAATAAGGCGGGAATTTAAACATCATATTAAGGATTTTGGGCTTAATCCTAAAAGCAATGGGAAGTCATTAAAAATTTTAGGCACAGGGTCAGCAATGTTAATATAACGGTTTTCTAAGTTATCTCATTTTAAGTTGCTTTGAGTGCTATGTACAGTCATGCAACACTTAACATCAGGATTACATTCTGAGAAATGCATTGTAAGGTGATTGGGTCGTTGTGCGAACATCATACAGTGCCCATACACAAACCTGGATGGCATAGCCTACCACACACCTAAGCTGTAAAGCACAGCCTACTGCTCCTAGGCGGCAAAACTATAGAGCACGTAACTGTACAAAACATGAGACTAAACCAAAGCTAAAGAGAAAATGAGAAAATGATGTGCTGAGGAGACGGAGAAAACAAGCTGGTGTAGTACAGCATACTGCTTTTTGAAAAAAAAATTTTAAATATTTTTTATTTTTTAATTACAGTTTCCATAGAATAGTATACCAGTTTCAGGTGTACAACATAGTGATTAGAGATTT